GGTATTTGAGCTGAACCTGACTGCCATGAAATTTCAGCCATTCTGGGATCTAGGGGATGCCATTTTTGGCAAAGGGAACAACAGCACAGAAGCATTAAGACAGGAACACGTTTGTTATGTTTGAGAAATGCTAGAAGACTGTTGTGGCTGGAATATAGTGACTGAGGCAGAAAGTGGTAAGATGAGGTCAGTCATTCTGCAAATATTAATTGAACACCTACTACGTGCCAGGCACTGTTCTAAATGCTGAGCATGTAGTAGTAAAGAAAACAGATAAGTTGCCTGCTGTCAGAGAACTTTCATTCTAATGAGGACAGATAATAAACTGTAAAAATAAAATCATTTCAGCTAGCAATAAATGGTAAGAAACTAAAACAGTGGTTTAGTAAGAGTGCCTACTTTATAAACTGGGTGGTCAGGGAAAGCCTCCGTGAGAGAGCAGTGAATAAGAAGGAACCAGTTTCACAATGATCTGAAGGCATGACGTTCCAGACATAAGGAGTAGCAAGTGCAGAGGTCCTAAAATGAAAATGATGTTGGCATGTGTGCCTAGACTGTAGCGAACAAGGGGGAGAATAGTGGAATGAGATGTTGGAGAGCTAGACAGAGGCCTGATTGTAGATGGCCTTGTAGGCTTCAATAATGGGTGTGGATTTTATTTTCTAAGTGCAATGGTGTTTCTGTAAGGATGGTCTCAACTTTTCCAACTCTCCAAGCTTCCAAATAATGAGGTTTTCAGTCAACTGGAACATTACAGTTGTGTGGCTAGGGCGTAATGAGTAAGGGGGAGAAAGATGAGGCCAGAGAGATATGGAACTATATCAGTACCAAAACTGAAACCAAACCCATTGCTTTTGAGTGCATTCCAACTCATAGTGACCCTACAGGACAGAGCAGAACTGCCCCGTAGGGTTTCTAAGGAGCAGCTGGTGGATTCAAACTACCGACCTTTTGGTTAGCAGCCAAACACTTAACCACTGCATCACTGGGGCTCCAATATCAGTACAGGCCTTGTAAAAGGAGTTTATATTCTAATATTCAGTGGAAAACCATGGGAGGGCTCCTCCTTAAGGAGGAATGTGCCATGATCCAATTTACATTTTTTAAAGGATCATGTTGGCTATGTGTGTAGAATGGATTGTGGAGGAAGCAGGTGGGATAAGAGTGGGAACTCTGAGACTAACTGGGAAGCTACTGCATTCATCTAGGTAAGAGATGGTAGATGAAGGTGGTAGCAGTGGAGATGGAAAAAAGTGGACATATGGATTGGATATAGGATGTGAGTAAAAGAACCAAGGAGGACTTCTAGGTTTTGGGGTTGAGCAATTGGGTGGATAAAGTTTCCATTTACTGATTTGGAGAACATTGGGGTCGGGGGGAGGGAGGTGGTTTACGGGAAAAATCAAGAGTAGTACTTTGGTTATGCTAAAGTTAAGATGTCATTAGACATTCAAATAGAGGTGTCAAGTAGATTAATGTGAAAAATAAGGGCTGAAAATAAAAATCTGATAGTCAGTGGTAGACAGATGGTATTTCAAGCCATAGGACTGGATTTAATTCCCAGAGGAAAGAGAATAGAGAAGAGGGACTAGGACATTGCCCAAGACCACGCAAACAGGATCAGCCAGGAAAATAGGAGAATAACTAAGTAAATTGATTTTATGGAAGCCAAGGAAAGAGTGTGTTTCAAGAAATTGGGAGGAGGTAGTTTATGGTCAGAGAAGTGATCTTTGGATATGGCAGGAATGACAGAATGGAAGCTGGATTAGTGTGTTGAAAATACGGTAGGTGAGGAAGTGAAGACAGCAAGTACAAGCAACTTTTGAAAAGTTGTGCCGTAAATGGGAGGAGTAAAGAGGCAATTGCTGAAAAGGAACTTGGAATCAAGGGAGGATTATTATTTAAAAATGGACAGTAGAGCATGTTTGTATACAGATAGATATGATCCAGAAGTGAGGGAAAAATTGATAATATAGGTAGTAGAGTGCTGTATGATTTGGGCATAGGATCCAGAATATGAGAGGCCCTTGAATTACGGTAGAGACACTTCATGTAGTTTAACAGTAGAGAAAATAGAGCATGGATACAGATACATATTTGATGGTGGGATGAGAAGATTCCCATCTGATTGCTCCCATTTTCTCAAACTAAAAGGCAAAGTCATTAGCTGTGAGTGAGAACAATGAAAAGGATGTTGGAGGTTTGAAGAGAAAAGGTATACTATAGTTATTTTACAGAGTGGGGAGTGCCAACATTCTGGGCATGATTTTGTGGTTATGAATTTCAAGTAAGACCAACTGAAAAAACTAGGCATGGGCCAGATGGTATGCAGCCTTGTAAATCATGGTAAAGGTTTGGATTTGATTCCTAAATGTGATTTAAAAAAAAAAATTATTGGAGGGTTTTAAGTAGAGGAGTGACTGATCTGATTTATATTTTAAAAATATCTCTCTGGCTGCTGCATGGGGAATGGATTATAGAGGGAAAAGAGCAGCACACTGTGTATTAGGCTGTTGAGCAGTTCAGGTAAGATGTGGTAGCTAGAAGTAGAGGGAAACAGTGGAGACAGAAGTAGTAGCTTTATTTTTTGGTCAGAGATAATAGTTATATATACAATGGTAAATGCAATTGTAAAATTAGTCAAAACTAAGTAGTTGTATTTTTTTCTTCTCAAGAGAAACTACATTAATGCAGGGCAAATGGTCAGGATCTTGTCCCGAATCAGTCATGCAACTCAATACATGAATGCTCAACTCAATATATAAATGCTCTATGTATGTACTGGACCAAGTTCAGTTACTGCTACTGAGCCATAGAGAGAAAATGCAGAATACAAAATACACAGGGAAAATGTGATGTAACTTTAAAATTATTTCTAAAATACTTTATGTCACTGTTTTTAAAAATCTTAGAATTGTGTGACTTTTTGGGTTCTTATTTGTGCAATCATGTAAAAAAAATTGGTAAAAGAAGATTTGTAAAACAAACAAAAAACTTTCCATACTTATGAGGGAGGCAGTCACTTCTCATAATGGCTAACCTTGGAAGCTTCCATTCCCCCACGTGTCTGGCCCTATAGCTCCAAAAAGACAGTCAAACAGTGTGACATTAATACGTTCCCATGAGGAAAGCCATTTGGGCCTTCGAGCCCCTTGTATGATTTTAAATTTTCTACTAGCCATATTTTAAAAAAGTAAAAAGAAACAGGTGGAATTTTGATATTTTATTTAACCAGTATATCCAAAATAAGTGCTTTGAAGATGGCATATTTTACTTACAAGAGTGGAGGTTTGAAATAACTACTTCTTAGATCTTTTTATTTTCAGAAATATCTCCAATTTTTACCTAATTTACAAACAATTATGGTAATCAGTGGGGATAACTGGTTTACATTCTACTGCTGTATAACTAGTAATTATTTTTGATTTCCAATTAGCTTTTCAGAAATCTTATTTTGTGGACTACTAATTCTGTGGCTGTTCATAAACTGGCTCTCAGTAAATGTTTCATTCAGAGCATTCTTGTACTGGAAAGATTTAGTACAAATGATGAATCTATAGTATATAAAGCTTTCAGAAGACAACCTACCTGTTCCACACATTGAAATAAAAATAACTAGATTCACAAGGGTATATCTCTGCTTACCTCTCAGCCTCATCTCTCGCCACTATCTTTTCCCAACTCTTTTCTCCCCGGCGCACAGAACTACTTCCCCAGCGGCTAACGCAATCTTGTCTTCGGACTTTTCCATCTGTTGTTCCTCTACCTAGACACTCTTCCCTCACCACCAACTCTTCCTTTAGGTCTCATTTAGATGACATTTCTAGAAAGCCTTCGCAGACCCCCTCACCTGCACCCCTCATGTACTCCTACAACGCCTGTTATTCCACTCCTCCTAGGCATTTTCTCACACTGTATTTAAATTTTCTTCTTCAATAGACTGTGAACTCTGGGAAGGCAGGGTCTGTGTCTGCCGTGTTCTCTGTTGTATCCCTGGCACCTAGTGTAGTCCTTAACGCATTGTGCTTTTTCAATATTTCTTGATCGAATGGTGAGAATAGCCCGGAGTTTTACTCGAAAGATAAGGCTCTTCCAACCACTAGGTTTGGTTTTTTGATATTCCAGTAGGTCTACTCTGATACTGGACGCTCTGAATTGATTCATTTTCAGCCCGTGAAACCGACTGTCTGCTGACCTAGGCCTGCGAGAGGGAGCCTATTTGTCTGAATGATCCCAGTTCTCATCCTGCAGAACCACCGTCGACATCGCGTACAGCAGAGAGCTTGGATTTGCAGGACAGATCCATGAGCAACTGCTATGCCCGCTCGGCAGTGAGCTAGAAAGATGACCCTCGGGGGCCCACTGGGAACCCATGAAAGGCGAACGACTCGCCTTCCTATAACCTTGGTACTACTCTCCACTCTACCTCCTCTAACGCGCCAAGCCGTTAGTCCCGCCCCATCCCACTCCGGCTCCACCCACCTGGCGCGCCCCCAGTAACTAAACCCTCGCCGCCTGGGCGCGCGCGTTCCTAAGCCCCGCCTCAAGGGCCAGGGCGCGCTCCCCCTCCCTGCTCGCCTAAACAGTTCCGTTAGCAGCGGGAGAAAAACCGTCCTTTGGGTCCCCGCCTCTCCACTCCCAACGCTTTAACTCCCTACTCCCCCTGCGACCACAACACAGCCAGCTACGGATGCCCCTAAAGCACAAATATCCCCCACACCCCCTGCGTATCCTGATAGGTTTTGTCCTTGTTACTCCCTCCGGTATTAAGGCCCTGTTTTCAGTTTTTGTCAGGAATTTAGACTCGAGTGTCTTCCGGCGGCAGGAACTCTTAACGCTGTTCACGGAAGCAAAAGCTGTTTTTTTTTTTTTTTTTTTTGCCGCTGTGGCCGCCTGCATTCCTTCCCTCCCACCTCCCGGAATTGCGGCGGGAGGGGGAGGAGGAAGTCAAAGCGCCTGCGCGAAGAGGCCGCTTTCCATCCGGGTCCCCGTCCGTGCGGTGCAGCAGGTCGGTAGGCGGGAAATGGCGACTGGCTGAAGGATCTGGTTGTGTTGCTGCTGCGGGCTAAGCGGGAAAGACACCACACATTGCGCAGTCGGGACCATCGCCGGAGCCTGAGGACACTTACTTTTCTGTCGTCACAGTTAGGTAATCCCCCTTGTCCAGACACTGCCGCTGCTCCCAACCTCAGTCCTCTCCTTCCAGGGCCCTCTGCCGGGATCTCCTCCCCTTCTCAACCGGGTCCTCCAGCGGCTCTCGCGCTTTGGTAGGCATGCACTATTGCCGCCTCGAACGTCCACTGTGTGGAGCCGCTCTTCTCTGGCTTTCCCCTGGGAACAGAAGGAGAGCTCACTTCCCGCCAGCTTTAGCTCTCAGGCTGCGGCCTGTGTTATGATTTCTGGGGTTAGATTTCACTTTACTACCCACCCCCACCCCGATCGCACGTTCCGAGTCCCAAACCCTGTGATCCCTCCCGGTAATTGGGTTAGAAGATCAGCTTTTCTAACCGTCGTGGTCCGACTGATGTTTGGGGCATTTCATTCTTTCTGTTAGGATGCTTTTAGGGGGGCGTTGCTGTCTGTATCTCAGTTTTTATAAGCACCTTTTGAGGGTATGGAAGGAGGGATTTCACTAAGTTCTGTTTATCTTCTGGACTGTTAAAAATGTTGAGTTGACATTGTTACTTTTTCAAGTCAAGAGTGGTAGTAAAGAACGTGTGGAAGGTCTCTGGTTGCGATAGTGGTCAATTAAAAGTAAACCTTACTATCCTTAGTGTTCACCCCGCTTTCTTTGGCTATTAAATAAGGGCCTGTATGGATGTTCACTTTTACATTCTTGACTAGAATTCTGTGGTAAATAATTACACAAGTAAATCGTGTTTATTTACTTCTCACCCTAGTGGTGGTTGGGTGTGTGAATGATGTTAATTAAGCACTTTAGAGTCCTTTAGGGAAGCCTAAACAGATACTGCTCGTAAACTGTCCTAAGATCCTGAAATGAAATGTACTATTAGGGTGTTCCTCCAAGGCAGGAATTTATTTTTCTGATGCTAATAAAGCATTACCAAGATTACTGCCCGTCATGGGTATACAAATTAGTGACTGGAAATGATAGACTTATCTGTGTAATTTTCAGACTGTAGATTGCTTATATTCTGTTCTCCTCATTCTTTCCCAAGTTTTAAAATTTGGGTCGTGGTCCAGGTGCTGTCCTTATAAAAGCAAGGAAATGGCAAGTTAAAGCTAATTTTTTTCATCTTTTATATATATATATATATATATATATATATATATATTGCAGACCAGTCTTGTTCTTCAGAATTTGTTTTTCAATCTTTTTGAATTTTGGAGCCTTTGTAGTTTTTTACCTAATCAAATTAAGTTTCAAAAATGTGTGTGGTTCATGTAAAACATTAGTTGATGTTTATCACTCAAAAGCTTTCCGCTCTCTAGGATCAGCTTAGAGAACTTCACTACTGTTAGGATATTAGGATTAAATTTCAAAAATAGGAATACACAAACATCATTATAGTTCTCATTTGATGGACTTTGCCCAAGGTCATAAAGAAAGTCAAGACAAAATGTAGTATGTGAAGGAATCTTTTAGGATTGAGTTGAACTTCATGCTTTTAGAACCAGTAGATTGGAGGTAGGAAATGGAAGTGACGGCATGTTGGATACTTGCTGAGTCAATTGATTTGAAAAATGGGGCCAAATATGTGGCTTATAGGGATCTAAAATGAATTTTTGACCTTGTGTAGGCTTTATCTGTATTTCAGTGTGCTTTTTGGGTAGTTGATCAAGCATTTATGTTTTTAATGAAATTTTATTTAGAGGTAGCCGAGTGAGCATTGTAGATTATGTCTTCAGCTATCCTCTCAAATCGTTGAGTACTACATTTATTCAGTACCTGGTCTCTGTAACACACATCTAAGTATGGGTTGAAAGAATGTAAAAGCTGTAAGTGGTGTGGTCCTTAATCTTTGTGATATTGCAGATGGAAATCCCAATCGAATTGTATAGAAATACCAAGAAAAGATTGATCTGTTTTACAGTAGTCCGTTCTACATAGTGTTTCTTGGGCAGTTCATTTGAGTCAGTAATGTTATTCTTTTTCCGCTGTTAAGAAATTAAGAATTGGGGGAGTTTTGTTTTCCTTAATTCATCTAGCTGATCCTAAGTTTGTGATTTCTGGTTAAGAGGTTTTTTCCCAAGATTATTATATAACAGAATCCTTCTAATGCTGGTTAAAGAAACTTGGACCTGTTGTTTAGAAATTATATAGCAGACTCTAGTCTCGTAATTAGAGAATTAATTACAGATTGAGTAAAATGGTACTAAATTATCTCAGTTTTAGTAGACTGATTTGGATTAATGAGATAATAAAGTAGTTTGCCAGAATTTGAAATAAGTAATACCTAATTATATATGCTGTTCACCAAGTTACTTGTGAAAGCATAAAGTAGAAATGACACTTTAAGTTACATGTATTAAATATGTTCAGAGAACCTCTTGTGCAGTGCTCTAAATGATTTTTCTGTTAGGTTAAAAAGTTATATGATATTAACTGGATTGACCACAGGGGATCTTTTGCTCTATTTTGAAGATGTGAAGATTTAACAGATATGGAAGCTATGTTAGAACCATACAGTTGCAGCTTTGGTTTCCAACTTACTTGACATTTACCCTGAGCCATATATTTAAGCCAGACATGTATTTGCTACTGGTTGAATAATGACATTAAATTCTAATTTAAACTGTTTTAAATTGTAATTGGACCTACATTACAAATAGGTAAACCAGGTGGTTGGTTTAAGTTGAGATTTGCCAAAGCCTAACTTTATTTGTATCAACTCCTGGGTGTTACGGAATTCCTTCTGAAATGTCCAATATAGTTTAAAATCACAATTTGGAAACGGATAGTGGTGATGGTTGCACAGCATGATGAACATAATTAGTGTCACTTATACATGTGAAAAATGTTGACACAGCAAATATTTTGTTATGTATATACCTCCCACAATAAAAAAAAAAAAAAAATCACACATTTTCTGGAAGAGAAACTTTAACCTGCTGTCTTTTATTGATAACATTAGCACAGATTAGTTTATCAAATCAACTTGCTGATACCACAGACTGGTGAGGGTTTAGAGGCAGTGAACCATAGGAGAGATGTAGAATATAGGGGCACTGCCTAGGCAAGACAGACATGGTGGGCGAGAGTCAGAGTGAGAAGCTTGGGCCTCTTTGGGTCCTTTGGGAATCTTGTGAATCTGGCAGTAATGAGGGGTGGGATTTGAGTGTGGTTCCAAGAAGAATTGTAGGACATTAAGAACAAATATGGTTTATAGTTTGGCCAACCCTTTTGTTTGTTTAAGGAACCCTGGTGGTGCAGTGGTTAAGCTGCTAACCAGAAGGTTGGTTGTTTGAACCCACTGCCTGTTCTGTGGGAGAAAGATGTGGCAATCTGCTTTGAAAGGATTACAGCCTTGGAAACCCTATGGAGCAGCTCTTCCCTGTCCTATAGGGTCGCTATGGGTCAGAGTCGACTCGTCGGCAGTGAATACGGGTTTGTTTACCTGATTTCTGTGCTTCTCAGTTGGTATGGTATTTTTAAAAGAATAATAGGAAACACTAAAATCCCTTTTTCTTTTTTCTTTTTTAAAAAAAAGGCGTTGTAAAATATTTACAGAAAAAGGCTTTTAACTTTAAGTTCACAGTAAGCCAGTTGACTGTATTAAAACCAAACCCACTGCCATAGATTCCAACTCATAGCAACCCTCTAGAACTGTCCCATAGGGTTTCTAAGGCTGTAATTTTTACAGAAGCTGACTGCCACATCTTTCTCCCGCGCAGATGCTGGTGGGCTTGAACTGCCCACCTTTTTGTTAGCAGCCAAGCACTTAACCACTGCGCCACCAGGGTTCCTGTTGACTGTATTACTTGTTGCTGTTGAGTCTATTACGACTCATAGCGACCCCACAGGACAGAGTAGAACTGCCCTCATAGGGTTTCCAAAGACCAGTTGGTGAATTTGAATGTCAACATTTTGGTTATCAGGCAAACTCTTAACCACTGCACCACCAGGGCTCCTGTTGACTGTATTAGAGACCCCGTATTTTATGGTATACACAGGCTTGTGTATTAATTTAGAGAGATTGAAAAAAAGGGAGTGTATCTAGATTAAACATGGATCATCATTAATACTTCCACTTGGGGTTCTAGCAGTGAGGCTTTCATAATAACTATAATGATTTTTTTAAGAAGCCCTCATGGCACAGTGGTTAAGTGCTCACCTGATAACCGAGAAGTCAACAGTTTGAAACCACTAGCCACTCCATGGGAGAAAGATGTGGCAGTCTGCTTTCATAAAGATTTACAGCCTTGGAAACCCTATGGGGCAGTTCTGCTCTGTCCTTTAGGGTCACTCTGAGTTAGAATCAACTCGATGGCAATGGATTTGGTTTTTGGATTTATAATAATTTTTCAGACTAGGAAATGATTTACTGCCTTGGTTAAAGAAACAAAATAGTGTACTAGTAGAAGACACTTTGAGAAATATTTGGGATTAAAATTTAGTAATAACAGCTTGTATAGTTTTGGAAGAATTTTTTTTCCTTTGGAATAAATACATTGAGAAATTGGAGACTAAAAAAGCAGGGAAGTTGTTAAAAATGAATAAGAGGAAGATTAAGTCCCTGTTAGCAGCATAACCTCATATTTTAAGTTATTCGTGTTGACCAGTTAATCTTTAAATAGGAATTTCAAAAGTATGTTTTATTAAGATAGGCGTAATTACTTGTTAAACAAAAATATCCAGGGTATGGGTATATCTTTTTAGTTGAGAAAAACTATGATTATTTGCTTTAGTAATAATTGCTTTCTTCCTAGTATTCCCCAAATATGTATGATTATCCTGTTAAGTTGCAAATAAGTAACCTCTCACTGACCTTATACGTACCTGCTTTGATATATTTTGTTAAATTAAGATAATTATATAATCCTTTAATTTTCTTATGTACAGATAAAAAATATTCACAGTTACGTTTCAGATGATCATTATGCATTTTTCCCCTATTGGGAATGTATTTTTTTTTTTTGTAGTAGTAGTAGGAGCGAACAAGAAGACCTTCTGTTAAAGAATTATGA